GTCCAGAAAGACAGAAGAAGAAGAAGTTCAAGGATCAATTGAAGAAGTTCATTGAAAAGATCAAGCAGATTCGAATCAACATCCCTTTTGCAGAAGCCTTGGAGGTAATGCCAAACTACACCAAGTTCATGAGGGAAGTCCTATCCAAGAAAATTCGAATCGAAGAAGACACACCAGTGACACTCACGGCAACTTGCAGTGCCATTCTTCAGTCGAATCTACCACCAAAAATGAAAGATCCAGGGAGTTACACTATTCCTTGTATTATTGGCAATTCTACTTTCGATAAAGCTTTATGTGATTTAGGGGCAAGTATTAATTTGATGCCTATGTCTGTGTTTCTAAAACTGGGCTTAGGAAATTTGAACCGCACTCGCATGACTTTACAGCTAGCTGATCGTTCATTGAAATATCCCGATGGGATTGTAGAAGATGTGCTAGTTAAAGTAGATAAATTCATTTTGCCTGTTGATTTTGTGGTACTTGAAATGCCTGAAGATGATGAAGCACCAATCATTTTAGGTCGTCCATTCTTAGCCACTGGTAAGGCGATGATTGATATGGAATTAGGATCTTTAATGCTTAGGGTAAATGGGGAAGAAGTTGTTTTTAATTTGACAAATGCATTTAAACACTCTGAGCATGTTGAGCATTGCAGTAGAATAGACGTGATCGAGGACTGTGTTTCCTCCTTTTTTGATTTGTATGAATTATGTGATTCTGTTGAGCACTGCATTGTTAACTCTATTGATTTGCATTCTGCCTCCCCTGAAACTCCTATTGAAAATGATGTGCTTGATTGTGTGTTGTTTCTTGAGTGTGCCGAGACTTTGGGCGTAGACGAGGTAGGAATCGTCCCCGAGATACCAGTTAGTGTGAATACGGCCCCCGTACTAGAATTGAAGCAATTACCGGATTATCTTTGTTATGCTTTTCTTGGAGCAGACAAGACTTATCCGGTAATTATTTCTTCTAGTTTGAGCGAGGCCGAAACAAACACACTGCTGGAGGTCCTTAGAGAATATAGGTCAGCTATAGGTTGGTCTATTGAGGATATTAAGGGAATTAGCCCGTCTATTGTTCAACACAAAATTCTAATGGAAGACGTCTATAAACCGAGAGTCCAACCTCAGAGGCGGTTAAACCCGTCAATGAAAGAGGTAGTCAAAAAAGAAGTCTTGAAATTGTTAGGCGCTGGTATGATTTATGCAATTTCTGACAGTCCGTGGGTCAGTCCGGTGCAGGTTGTGCCAAAAAGGGGTGGGATGACGGTTATTGTGAATGATAAAAATGAACTTATTCCGTCTAGAACAGTCACTGGGTGGCGTGTATGCTTCGATTACCGATTATTGAATGCAGCCACTAGAAAAGACCATTTCCCCCTTCCCTTTATCGATCAAATGCTAGACAGGCTAGGAGGTTTCGAGTATTACTGTTTTCTTGATGGTTATTCGGGGTACAATCAAATTTCAATCGCCCCGGAAGACCAAGAGAAAACTACTTTTACTTGCCCCTACGGTACTTTTGCATTTCGTAGGATGCCTTTCGGTTTGTGTAATGCGCCTGCTACCTTTCAACGATGTATGATGTCTATATTTCACGATATGGTAGAAGAGTTTCTTGAGGTGTTTATGGATGATTTTTCTGTGTTTGGATCGTCTTTCGATCATTGTGTGCACAATCTAGAACTTGTTTTAAAACGATGTACAGAAACGAACCTTGTTTTAAATTGGGAAAAATGTCATTTTATGGTTCGTGAAGGTATTGTTCTAGGTCACAAGGTCTCGAAAAAGGGTCTTGAGGTGGATAGGGCAAAAATCGAAACGATTGAAAAATTGCCTCCACCGAAGGATGTCAAGGGAGTTAGAAGTTTTTTAGGGCATGCTGGGTTTTACCGTAGATTCATTAAAGATTTTTCGAAAATAGTAAAACCATTATGTCATTTGCTTGAGAAGGAAGCTGCCTTTGATTTTGATTCTGCTTGTTTGCAGGCTTTCACGTTTCTCAAGGAGAAGCTAACCCAATCACCGATTATGATTACTCCCAATTGGGAGGAACCATTCGAGATCATGTGCGATGCGAGCGACTATGCTGTAGGTGCTGTATTGGGACAAAGGAGGGACAAAATCTTCAAAGCCATCTACTATTCGAGTCGTACACTTGACCAGGCACAGAAGAACTATTCAACGACCGAAAAGGAAATGCTTGCAGTCGTTTATGCTGTTGACAAGTTCAGACCGTATATTTTGGGGTCTCAGGTGATCATTTACACCGACCACGCAGCTATTCGATACTTGTTCGCGAAGAAGGACGCCAAGCCCAGACTCATCAGATGGGTACTACTACTCCAGGAGTTCGACTTGGAAATCAGAGACAAAAAAGGGAGCGAGAATGTGGTAGCAGATCATCTTTCCAGACTCATACTAGAAGAAGTTCCAGCTGAAGGAAATATTCAGGAATCCTTCCCAGACGAGCAACTGCTCGCCATTAGTGCTCACACTCCGTGGTATGCTGATGTGGCCAACTTCTTGGCCAGTGGAATCATTCCTGACGATCTATCGTATCACCAAAAGAAAAAATTCCTTCACGACAGTCGTTTCTATCTTTGGGACGAGCCATTGCTTTTCAGAACCGGCCCCGATCGTGTCATCCGAAGATGTGTTCCGGAAACAGAAGTACGTGAGATTCTCACACATTGCCACTCTTCACCCTGTGGCGGGCATCACGGGGAATCTCGCACAGCCGCCAAGGTTCTGCAGTCAGGCTTCTTTTGGCCAACCCTTTTCCGAGATAGTTACGAGTTCGTGAAACGGTGTGATCGATGCCAACGAACAGGGAACCTATCCAACAAAAGCCAAATGCCTTTGAACAACATGCAAGAGGTGGAGCTTTTCGATGTTTGGGGCATAGACTTCATGGGACCATTCCCTTCTTCGAACGGGAAGTTATACATTCTGCTTGCCGTGGACTATGTGTCCAAATGGGTCGAAGCAATTGCCACCACAACCAACGATGCTCGTACGGTCCTCAAATTCTTCCACAAGAACATTTTCTCAAGGTTTGGGACACCCAGGGCGATCATTAGCGATGAAGGATCTCACTTCTGCAACAAACTGCTCACTAATCTCACGAATAAGTTGGGGATCCGACACAAAATTGCGCTAGCCTATCATCCACAGACGAATGGCCTTGCTGAGTTGTCAAACCGAGAAATCAAACAGATTCTGGAAAAGACCGTGAGCACGAACCGAAAAGATTGGGCATTGAAGCTCGATGATGCACTTTGGGCCTATCGAACCGCATTCAAGACACCGATTGGGATGTCTCCGTACAAACTCGTGTATGGAAAAGCGTGCCACCTGCCAGTGGAATTGGAGCACCGAGCTTATTGGGCAGTCAAAAAGCTCAATTTCGATCAAACAGCTGCCGGCGATCGTCGATTGCTTCAACTCAACGAAATGGAGGAGTTCAGAAATGATGCTTACGAGAATGCCAAGATTTACAAAGAAAAGACGAAAAAGTGGCATGACAAAAGAATTACAAAGCGAGAGTTCCGGGCAGGTGACCAAGTCCTGTTATTCAATTCTCGGCTACGACTATTTCCGGGAAAGCTCAAGTCCCGTTGGTCGGGACCATTCGTAGTCCTGAGCGTCACCCCACAAGGTGTAATCGAAATACGAGGACGAGACGGTCCGTCGTTCAAGGTGAATGGGCAACGAGTTAAGCATTACTACCCGAATGGTGCTCCCGAGGAAGTGGAGCGTGTCGCACTAATTTTCTCCCAATAAATCCAAAAGAAGTCGAGCCGTCGACTGTAAAACGGGCGCTAAATGGGAGGCAACCCATTGTTGCTCATATTCTGTCATTTTTTCCTTTTTTTTCTTGCTTTCGTTTTTAATTTTTTAGCTTTTTCGTGCATTTTTATAATTTAGGGTTCAACATCTCTATCTTACCCATTTAAATTTTCGTTTTGGCAGGTTTTAGGTGTCCCGGATCGCGATCCAGGTAAGCCGGATCGCGATCTGGGGTGTTTTTCCAGTAGCAGCGAATTTTGGGCCCGGATCGCGATCCAGGTAAGTCGGATCGCGATCTGGGACGTTTTTCCAGAAGCTGAAATTTTAAGGGCCAGATCGCGATCCAGGTAAGCCGGATCGCGATCTGGGGCCTTTTTCCAGAAGCTGCAGGGTGAGCCTCCAGATCGCGATCCGGGTATTGTGGATCGCGATCTGGGGCCGAAAAACAGTTCAAAAGGCTGATCCCCCTTCATTTTCTTATTTCCCCTTTTTCTAATTCCAAACCCTAACCCCTCCCCAATTTCAAAATCTTCAAATTTCTATCATAAAAGCACATCAATCACACACTTGAACATCACAAATTCACGATTTGCACATTTACTCCAAGAATTTGTGGGTGAATCTTCAAGAAAAGGTAAATTTTCAATCTAATCTTCATTTCTTTCATTTTCTTCAATTCTTTCGAATTTCCCCAAAATTTCATGATTTTTCCCCTTGTTTGTTAATTGTGTATGCTAGTACGTGATTTTGTACTTGGTGTTGGGATTCAAAACATGAATTTGCGGGTGAACCAATGTTTAGATATAGGAATTGCCCTATTGTTCTTAATTTCGAACTAAAGGATAAAATAAAGATTTGAATGACTTGGGTTGATTGTTTAGCTACCTATTGTTAATTGTGGTGGTGGATTCTCACTTGGGTGTTGTGATTGATGTAGGAGGGATAGGTACCGAACAACCGGTGGAAATCAAAAGGCTTACCAAGTTGGGCACGCCAAGTGTTCGACAAAATTCCCGAACCAACTTCCAAAGGCTTTCGACCCTCCGTCTCGCACAAATTCGATCGAAATGACGTCGCCGGCCAAGAAACTCTTAAAGACGGGCGAAACCACCAAAAAAGCCCAACCCAAGGAGAAGGCTCCGGCAAAGGGAAAAGCCGCACCGAAGAAAAAGGCAGCTTCTCGAGGCACGGGAAGCCAAGAGGGCACTTCGAGCGCACCACCACCATCTCAGGTGCCGGAAGAGCAACAAACCCCACGCACGGGAAACGTGCAACTTGAGATGGGATCCCGTGCTAATCAACACACCATCCTTGACCGTGTAGTCCTCGAACCGGGAGATGAGCTTTTGTACGTGAACGTCGAGGCAAAAAGGGAATTCATACGTCGCCACAGCCGACCGTTTGTTCCAGAAAGGGAATTAGATCTCGATGGCATGGAAAAAGATTCGATCTTCGAAAACTTTGATCGTCGACAATGGAAGTACTTGGCCAAACGACCGGAGGACTACAACGAGAATCTAGTGAGGCTCTTCTATGCCAATGCCGGTTTTCACCCGGGGTCGGTGGTCGTTCTTCGAAACCAAGAGGTGCGCTATGACGCTGCTACAATCAACAAGTTTTTCCACCTACCCGAAGTCTCGACCGAGCCGTTTCAACAACTGAAGATGGCAACGACCTATGAGGAGCTGATTCAGACTCTTTGCCCTAGGGGTTCGAAGTGGCAAAAAGGAGAGCACTGGTTCCGTCGGGGGGAACTTTCAAGGGAAGCAAAGGTATGGATGTACTTCGTCAGTAGCAGGCTCATGCCCACAAAGTCGACGGCCAAGACCTATGCCCCACGTCTTACACTGATGTACGCCATTATGAAGAGGACACCTGTGAATGTGGGCGCGATCATACACGCTGAGATCCGACGATGCTTAGGTGATACCTCTCTAGGTCTGATGTTCCCTTCCCTTATCACTACACTGTGTGATCGTGCAGGGGTCCCCACATACGCGGATGACCGGCTCACCAGGTCACCACAGCCTATCTTCCCTTACCACAAGCTCCAGCCAGCGAGTGGACCCCTAGGCGAGGGCGACTCAGACTTACCAGATGCGGGTCCCTCAGGTGTTCATGCGGCTCGACCAGAACAAAGGGCCAGAAGAGGCAGACAAGAAGCAGAACCACAGCTCCCGGAGTATGTCGGCCAATGGATGGATGTTATGGAGGAAAATGTGGGATGGTTCAAGAAAATGATGAAAGCCATGGCTGCAGCGCTTCAGTGCAGGACCGATGACATTGTCGAGCCACGGCCGTTCCCACCACGGCCTCGATATGATGGAGCATCAACCTCCGCCGCCGACGAGCAAGCACAAGCGGCAGCCACTACACTGGTGGCACAGGCCTGGGAGGAGTACGAGCGGGGACGACCGGAAGAGGAGGGAGGAGCCCACGAGGACGATCACGACAACTAGGGGACGTTGTGTTTTCTATCCCTTTTATTTTTTATTCTGCTTTTGAGCATAGGGACTATGCTAGAATTTAAGTTTGAGGGTGGTGTGTGTTGAACCTGTTTGTTTTTAGTTCGTTTGTTTTGGGATGAGTCGTTGGATTGATATTTCGTTTACGATGTATCTTTGCTAGACTTTGTTTTTATTTTATTTTATTTATCTTATTTTGATTTGGTCTTCTACATGCATATCATATAATTTAGTTTCGTTTATGTTTTTTGATTTCTGTTATTGTGTTATGTTTGTCACATGCATTTCATTTAGGATCGAGTGTAATTTGCATTTCCGGGTTCTTTGGAAGCAAAGCAATTAATGAATTAGTAGATGGGCTAGTTGATTTTAAAATTGAAATTGTGGATCACCGGCTAATTATAGATGAACCTTCCGACTGCGTTTTTGCAACTTGTGTGGATAGCCTTTCGAATCCTTTCCGATTAAGCTTGAGCGCATTTTTCTGAGGGGTATAATAGCCTGAGGTTTGGGGGGCAGGTTAGAATTGAATTATGTGTTCACGATTTCGAGTTGTTGGCTAGAAGTTCTATCAATGGTCTTTACGTTTTTATTCGATAAAAAAAAAAAAAAAAAAAAAAAAAAAAAAAAAAAAAAAAAACAAAAAAGAAGAAAGTTGTGAGAAAAATCACAATATATTGTTGTTGTCGTATCTTATTGAATAAAAAGACCTACTTATGCCCAACTCGAGTTTTTGAATTTCAGAATCAAAACTTACTTTTCACCCACATTTCTACTCAAAACCCTCGATGATTGTGTTTATTGTTTAATTACGGATTCTTGAGTCTATCTTTCATTTTGGTGTAGAAAAAACTAATTGCGTCGGTAGGAAAGTCGAATACCTTAAAGCCGTGGGCCATTCTGAGATTTTAGGTTATCTAGCTCGTTTTATCTTTCGAATTAATTGCAATGCTTTGACCAATCCGGCAACTTTGTGGGTGTGTTGTCTGAAAACCCTCACGAGACACAACTCGTCCTTTGGGGGTACCCAGGGGTTCAAAGGCTTGTTGCATCGCTAAATGCAATCGTGATTCCCTACGTTAGTGGCCTAGTTTAGTTTGTTGTTTATATTTCATTTTTGTTGTAGTTTCGTTTTGATTTACTCGGGACGAGTAAAGATCTAAGTTTGAGGGTGTGATAAGTGTTCGAAGCAGCAAAGAAGGTTATGAGGTATCTTCAAGGAACAAATGATTACATGGAGATCGGACCAATTAGAGGTTATTGGTTATTCAGACTTCGATTTTGCTGGTTTTTTAGATAGTAGAAAGTCCACATCGGGCTTTGTATTTCTACTAGCTGGTGGAGCAATCTCTTGGAAGAGTTTAAAGAAAAGTATTATTGCTTCTTCTACAATGGAGGCTGAGTTTGTAGCATGTTTTGAGTCCTCGAGTCATGCACTATGTTGCGAAATTTTATCTTAGGGCTTAAGGTTGTTGACTCAATTACTAAGCCTTTGAAGATATATTGTGATAACACCGCAGCCGTTTTCTTCTCTTAGAATGAAAGTATTCAAGTGGATCCAAATACATGGATCTTAAGTACTTGGTTGTTAAAGAAAGAGTCCAGAAACAACAAGTGTCAATAGAGAATTTAAGTACAACTCTCATGGTTGCTGATCCATTAACCAAGGGATTTCCTATAAAGACATATGAAGAACATTTTATTAAAATGGGTCTTTGAGCAATCCATAATTTGATGAGTAGTGATTATGTAATTGACAATTAATTTATTTAATCAAATGTTTCAGTTTTTCCTGTTTCCAATTATGTGTGCACATATTTTATTTGAAATTAATTTAACAGGATTTGTCCTAACAAGACAAAATTAAAGGGGCTATTATGGATTAAAATAGTAAGGGTTATTAGTGGCGTGATACATAGAAGGGAATATGATGAATGAATCATATGACCGCTATGATTCACATTAATAACTCATACTAGTTCTAATATTAAAGTACTACTTTATTTAGCCATTATGGTAATCATCTTAATTTTCTTTTAAAATCGTGATCACGTGTCAAATGTTTTGTATGAAGAACCCACCGAGTCAAATAATTTTTAAACTTGTTTTTCTTAAACGGTTCAATGGGCCAAGTGGGAGAATGTTAGTTTTATTTTTGTTTAATGGCACATTAAGCTTTAAATTAAATTTATTAATTGTGGGTAGTTCAATTATGGAATTAAGACTGATTTTATGGTAATTGATTTGTAACGTGTGATGGCAATAAAAGACCACGATGGATGGGATTTGTCTTCTGCCGTTACAAAAGAATCGTGGCCCTCTTCTCTCGTCTATATGTTGGTTGTAATACCTACATGCAAGTGCACGTATCGTACAAGTAATAAAGTGCATTTTTTAATTCCAAGTATCGATCCACAGGGAATATTTAATTATCTAATCCTAGACGTTAAATTCTACCAATTGTTTTCAAGCCCAGCCTACACAGTCGAAAGAGGATTAATAAACTAAACTAAGATAAAAAAATTAAAACAAATTAAAAATACAAGAGCACGAAAGCAATTAAAAACGAAGATTTAATCAGAGTAAACAAGCCTATGATTTTATTCTCCCCTCTATGTGATTATTATTCCCCCAATTCCTTCAATTATGCAAGCAATTAACTTGGATTATTAACCTGAGATACTAAATTAATCATAACCCGCTTCCGCATGTATTACGATTCTAATACTCTAGATTCAATTACTGTATTTCTACGCAATTCATTCTGGAACATAGCATTAACACAAATCTCAATAATGGCTACCTAAGAGATTAACTATATTTCTATGTTAATACCACAAATGCTCTTCTTCCACAGTTATAATTATTAATCCGATATTCCGATTCATGCAATTAATAATAACATAAAAGCACATAAGTTGATCAAGTTCATGCACTTAATAAAACAAGTAGAAGAAATAATCTGGAATTAAAACTTTTATAAAATCATAGAAAGGGGTTCATAAATCCCACATAGGGTTCCAAATAAAATCCTAGAAATAAGAAAATTAGCTACTCATGATTAAAGCAAAAACGCAAATAAAATAAATCATAAACGATAAATCTTTGCTTGGAGTCTTCGAATTCTTCGTCTTCGTTATTGCTTTGTTGCTCTTGAAATTGCGTAAAAGATGGATCCCCAATTGTGTGCTTGGCTTGGTCTTACATAGGGTGGAAAACTTGGGGAAGAAGGTAGTTTCCTTGTGCAATGAAAATCCCTTTACTGCGCCTCCTCGTGATCTCGGACGGCCGTCCTACATTTTGAACTAAAACTCGGACGGCCGTCCGGGCTTTAAATCTTCAGAATTTTGACCTTTTCACTCTTGGCCCATATTTTCTCCAAAATTGCAGTGTTTATCCCATACTTTTCCAATTCTTCAATTTGTACCTAAAATACAATAAATCAACTTTTTAAGCACCAATTATCATTAAAACACACCAAAAGCTCAAATAAAAAGGTACGATAAAGTGTGAAAATATAAACTTGATACTATAAAATAATCCACAACTCTTCTACTCATTAACAAACACAATTTGATAATTCTCTCAATTACAGAATACTAGTGAGTTGTGATACTAGAGAGATAGAGAGAAGAAGGTGTGCCTACGAATAAGGTTCTCACAAGGAGATTCAGAGAGGGCTTGGCTTGTAGATTGCTATCATCCTCGTTTATCACCTCTATCGGAATCTATGGCGAACGGTATATCGATAATCCCAATTATGTGATTATATTCTTAAGATGAATTTGATTTCAAGATTCTGTTATTAGGGTTCTCCGCATAAAGTTAAATAAAAGTGTTTCACTTGAGTTCGTTCTTCGTCATTGTATGCACGAGGTGGAACCATCTTCTTGTTTTCAGCATGTTTTATTTTTCGTTCGCCAAAAGAATACGGTGGCTGATCGTCTTGCCAATTGGGCATATTCTCACAAATCGATACAAGAATATTTCTCATGACGTTCATTACCCTTCGAGGCTAAGGCAGCTTATAATGGAGACAAGCTGGATGTTCCTAATTTTCGTCCAGTATGAACGAGAGCTACTGTTGGTTTTCATATTTTTGGTTTTTGCATAAATACCCCCACCTAAGGACTATTATGAAATTTTCGGAATTGGTGCAAAGAGGCAGCTGTTTGGGAGTGGCACTTCTGTGTATTTGCATTTTAACCCTCGTCTGGGGGCCTTACAACAAATTTTGAGATTTATAGGGTGTTTGGCTAAGCTTATAAGATCTTCCAGAGTTTATAAGCTCTTCCAAAGTGTTTGGTAAATTAAAAAAAAAAAAATCTTATTTTTTTTTTAAAATAAGCTCTTGGAGAGCAAATAAAATATTTTTAAAAAAGTACCTCTAAGCCAACTTTTTTTAAGGGGAATATGGCCAATATTGACAAGGGACTTAAATGCACATAGCTCCAGACAAAAACCAGTCTTGCAAATAAACTCATCCCCATGTATTTTGTCTAAAATACCATCTATAATATAATTTTTATCAATTCCATCCATTATCCCCCATTTTCAAAATTTTTGTAAAGAAACTTTTTTTGTTCAGAAAATAATTTTTTTTTTTGATTTTTTTTTCCGGCCAGATTCCGGCGTTGACTTTTTTTTTTTTGTTTTTTGAAAACTTTTCTTTGAAATTTTTTTCCGGCCGGTCAATCCGCCTTAGATCGCCGATCTCCGGCGTTGGGTTTTTTTTTCTTTTTTTTTTTTCGTTACTGTGTTAACAACAAAATTATTGTCTGAGATAGTAATATTGAATGCCAAAATAGTAATATTACTAATATTATTGTCCCAAACAGTAATATTATTGCCCAAACAATAATATAACTGTCCCGAACAGTAATATTACTGTCCCGGACACTAATATTATGAATATTATTTTCCCGAATAGCAATATTATTGCATGAGACAGTAATATTACAGTCGGAGACAATAATATTACGCTCGAAGACAGC